GACTGATCTAAGCTGAAAAAGCAATGATATTTTTTTTATAATAGTATATAAGACAGTGTGAGCCATAATATATATATATATATATATATATATATATATATATATATATATATATATATATATATATATATATATATATATATAAATAACGGTGGAGCTTATTTTCAAAGTTTTGTAATATCATCTTCTTACCCCCTAATTTTGTTTGTCTACATGAAGAAAAATTCAGACAAAAATTATCAGCCTCATTTATCAATATTTACTTGTAGCTCAACTGCACTGAAGTTTTGAATGTATATCAGATTTTAAGGCTTTTGCATATAGAACTACAATGCAGTATTTTGTAACTGGTCACACAGCTAAATCACATAATTACTATTACACGCTAAATAAAGCTTGCTGACATCAGCAATGATGCATAATGGAGACAAAACATAAGAGACAGTATCATTGTTTTTGCAAATAGATGTCTGGCAGAAAGTCAGCCAAGGGATGAATACAGAAAATTCTCCGATTCATGGCACATTAGTCTATGCACCATACACTATTGCTGAAATCACTGCTTGGCTACTTCACAATAAATCCAGCAATGTCAAAGGCTGCATCACACAAGTTCTCCAATCACTTGTGGTATTTGTCATCCGAACTGGTTGGTTTAGCCTTTTTTTTGACAGAACAGTAACTTCGGCAACCAAGAGAAAGATAAATGCCATGAAAAACGAGATTAGCAATGAGTCAGCTCAGCAGGATCACACCAAGCGAACAACTGTTGACCTGCCAAGATTCACAGAAAAGAAATTCGTTCACATTATTTCTACTCATGGAACTTCCGCATGAATTTTTCAATGTGGATCCAGACCTGTGGGGGGCACAGAAGGACTATCAGCAATCATCAGAGACAGTTCGTTCAATGAGTATGGTGAATGATCATGCAGAACGTGGGGTCACCTTTATTCAAGAACTGAGTGACATTATAACCAAAGATGAGTCTCAGCTTCAGTTACTATTACAGACAGTTGAGCAGCACAGGCATGCATATTCGGACTGTAAAAAACACACATTGTTGAAACTGCGGCCAAGTACTTAACTGGTCAGCTGTGTAGAAAAGCACTAACTTTCTGTTTTGAACAGTTGTACATGCAAGAACAGGTTTCTGTTTGATTGTATTTGAAGACAATGTTTGAGATTAAAAGTTAAAATGCTGTTGCATAGATGTAACCTAGAAAAACTTTACATTTTTTCAATTTTTAAATATTATTTTTTGTTACTTTTGATGACATTGAACTACTTTTTAATATAACACAAAGAGACTCAAACTTTTTTAAACATTTGTAGATGATGGGAAAAAGTTCTTGGGATAAGACCATTGAGAATCACAAATTTTATTTTTTGGGTTGTTTAAGCTCATATATATATATATATATATATATATATATATATATATTATATATATATATATATATATTATATATATATATATATATATATATAAACCCTGACCTCTGAAGATAGGGGCGTCTTACAAATCTACAATGCAATGCAATGTAATATCAATTATAATGAATAACGACAAATTGAAGTTCATTAATATTAATCAAATACAGTTCATTAATATTAATCAAATACAAGTGATTGTTTATCTCATAAAGACTGTTTGACTCTTCAACCTCTGGCAAATAACTTCGTAAACTAACCTTTTGATCCTCCAACCCGGCTAGTACACCTTTTTCACCTTAACAAGACAAGCATATTTTCAAGAACAACTGAAACTTTTCGGCTAGTAATTATTAATATCCAAACCTCAGCAAGCAACTCTTCAAGAATAGCCGAAACTCTTCAACACCCTATCTGAAACTTCGGCTGGTAATTATTACTATTTCAGCCACAGCAACTTTTCAAAAATGACTGAAACTTTTTCTGAAATTTGATTCAACTGACCTCTTTTACTTTCAGTACGAAATACGTATCATATACTTTACTGAAAATTGAAAATTAACTCCTGTTTTGTTATCCATGCCTACTTATATACGAACGCACTCTTTATCTCCTGTCCAATTCGTTGGTAACCGGGTCGTTTCGCCTGCGTGGTATTTTCAAAAAATAATTGTGCAGTAACAAACCATGAAAAATCACAAAATGACATGCATTAAAAGCTGCATTGAGTAATGTAAATTAACTTGAACTGTTTTAGTTAGATTTTAAAGAAATTGAGGAGGATCACTAAAAAGAATGATAAGGAATAAAATTGGAAGTAAGCTTTCCTTTATAGAATTGTGATTGATAGTTAAATGGGTTGGTCAACCCTGACTCTGCTTTCTTGATTAAAAAGTTCTTCACGTCCGACTACCAATTATTTTTCCAACTTTTATATTACAATCTTAAAGGAACGCTAGCTTACGATAAAAATAAAAGTTACTTGTAAAAAAATTGCGATTAGTTAAGATAATTATAATGCTCACTGCCTCTATTGAAGTTAGTTGAGAGAGTGCCAATGGAAGTGGTTCAATCTGTCCAGCAATATTTTGTGATTAACGGAGTGACCTCATGTCGGGCAATGACCACAACGTAACTCTCTGATCGTTTATTGATAAGTAGAAATTTGAGAAATTTTATAAACTTTTTAAAGCACCGTTAAGTCTTGTAAAATTTTTGAAATCTTGATTAGTATGATGGCATGAAATAGTTACGATTCAAATGTATGTTCACCCAAACCCAACCAATGATATACAACAATTTTTTGTTTCAGGTTACAGGTATACAACCTCCTAAACCTGTGACAAGTTTTGCTCATTTTGGTTTTGATGAAGTCATAATGAAATCAATACGAAAACAAAATACACT